AGCACTCCCCGGAACGCCAACGTACAATTTGTCAAAATAAATATTTGACATGGTTCTCATCAGTTGCTAACAACCTGTAATATTCAGTGAACTGTAAAATATCATAAATTTATATCTTATGATGGGATTTATATAGATTTATATCCACATTAATGTATATTTAAAAGTAATCTCGTAGTTAAATTCACAAGTCAATCTAAATTAGACTATCATTAAATTCTGGATGCACTAGAAGGTCATTTCGTTCAAATGTGGAACTCCTCAACAGTGCGAATTCACGATCTCGCCTCATGAGACTCGAACCAAAGACCTATAGGTCTCAAGAGCGAACGCTTAACCTCTAAACCACTGAGCCTGAATCGAATAGTGTCAACGTCTAACTTCAATCTACCCATGTTGTTGAGCAATTCTTCATCCATTGTCTAAGATAGATAACTGTCTCACATCCGACACGGATTGTGCTCCATCGGTCATAGCTTCTCATTCATGTCAACTAAACTCATTTATATTAGTAACTGTAACTACAATCTCTTATATATAATACAGGGTACTAGCAACTGAGTAAAATCAAATTCAATAAAATGTAATCATGATTATTCTCTTTTTAAATCTTCTCCTCCTTTCAAAAAATCCTACAATGAACTGTCTGATTAAACATCTAATTATATAGGTGTTTAATTGCTATCTTGTATAAAGTTAAAGTTAATACATACTTGATGTTATGTAACTTTATAGTTTCTATGACTTGTACATGTAATTATCTAGTCTACATTCTCAAATACAAAAGATAAATATAGACTTGAATTTATTTCAGTAATACTGTTTATATCTGAGAGGGGCTTTGTGGAGATTGTAGTAATTTCAATAGTCGAGATCATGAATCAATTGAAAGTAGACTACCATGGAAAACCTGGAAGCATTGACGTTAGAAATTAACATTGTTGGATGCTGGCTTAGTTTTCTAGTGGATAAGCGTTTGCGCGAGGCCAATAGATCCTGGGTTCAAATCTCGTGAGGCGGGAACGCGGATTCGCACCGTTGAGGAATCCTACAATAGGACGAAACGGCTGTCCAGTGCTTCTAGATTTTCCATGGTGGTCTAGCGTCAATAGACTCATGATCTCAACTATTGCAATTACTACAATCTCCATAAAAACCCCTTCCAATACATTATAATTTTTAAGATTTCATTAAATCTATATACAGTCAACATGTGATGTGTGTGTGTTACTAATGCAGACAAATATAAGTAGTAGGTATCATCAATCGAATGTGAAAAATCTGACTGCAGAAGGTTAAGAAGATCAAAGAAAAGAGAACGAGAACAGAGATTGATTAGTGTGGAAACGAAAGAACAACATAGTCTGAGACGATTGATTGACACTGCAAATGAAGTATTTACTGTATGGTTCTCAGATTTTACTAGGATGTTCTGTAATTTTGTATTAAAATATATTTGATTGTCCCCGTGTGCGTTCTTGTTCACTACAAACAATTCGTAAATAAATTAGTCAAGTACTTTTGAGAAAATTTAGCTTAGTAATTGAATCAGTCATTGCGTCATAGAAAGTTATATTATGTAACATCATTTATACAATACTATACAACCCCTGAATACGCTGATTGTTAACTGTTCTTTTATAGGATGAGGATTTTGCTTTGTAGTGTGACCAGTTAATTTTTAGAATATCAAACGTAATGAAACGATATAAGGTAATTGCTTGATAAAGTGAGCGCCAAATATTTACAAATAGAAAAATGGAATGTACATTTATGAGCAGAGAAGAATGGTGACAAACAATGAGATCGAGAACGCGTGTTTCGTTCTCTTTAGGACTCATGAGATGGATTTTCCTATATCACAGAGTTGATGTTCAGTGCGTGACTCTAACCTAATACTGTTCGCCTGAAACGACATAAAAATATCAACTTAGCTATTGAGTCCTCATAGCCACTAGCCTGTGCAAGTGGGTGAAGAAATTATTACATTTTCCATTAGGTTTGAACATCAAATCTGGGATGCAGATAAATCTAGCTGACGAGTTTCAAATAGAAGGAAACAAGAGTCCTGAATTCCATTCCTAGGCACCATTCATTTGAGCATTCAACTTTTGAATCAGTATCGAGTCACAAGTGAACATCTAACAAAATGGTCATTTTCTCTCATGATCTCTATAGAGAATTTCCTAATTATATTAAGCTCTTAAATTGACTGAATACTTCACACTAAGATCCTGTATTTCTAATGGGTAAAATTTATGTTATGCATTATTCATAAACGAACGACGTAAATCCGACCAAACTATACAACATTACGTAAGCGTATAAACAGTTGATGTGTATATTCGTATGTGTGAATTTGACAACATCAGTTGTAAGTTGATTTTCTAGAATTTCTGAACTGCCTGTAATCTTCTAAGATCAGTTTAAGAACAGCTAGTATGGGTCTATAATACTAACGGAATTATGAAATGATTAAGTTACTCTTAAATGAATGGTAATATTAATTAAATCCATAACAGAAGCTAACATACAACTGTTCAACACTTTACCGCTAGCATAGAAAGAAGACGGATTATTGCGAAAATTGAAAATCCGGAGTAAGCCCAGATTATATTAAATACATAAACTTTGAAGTTAGGTAAGTAAACAACACCACCAAACACCTGTAAAGACTGGACCACTGTTTAGTCCATGTATGCGACTCCTCAACAAAGCACACACACGGTCACTCACACACACACACAAACACCGCATTCAAAACAACAAATTTCAAACTCATGCTCGAACGCCTCACCTAGACACAATCAAGTTAACTTTTCTATATCAATCAAATTGAATCATTTCATTGCAAACTTAACATTATCCACAGTATATTCACTCAATATTAACACAAAATCATTGTTCCAATGAATTCGAACATGATTAGTTGACATCTCGTTGATTGATTATGTCATAACGCATCACAATAATTGTGTATTTCATTATTTTCATTCTATGCATAATCGTCTATCTTAAGTAAAACCAAAAACAAAACAAAACAATCCGACATTCCTTGTAGGAACAAATTAACCATCGGTTAATTCATTTGCATACAATGTGATTTATAATGGGAAAGACAAGCGGAAATCTTAATGAAACATTTACAATTCTGTTTTGATTACATCATTGTAAGTGTGAATAATAGTACATTTGTATTCTATTTACATAATAACAATCATAGTGAAGACCATTTTCACTATGCCGACATTCAACTTTCTCCAATGTTTTGATATTGATATTGTGAAACTATCATTGAAAGCTGTTTGTAGGCGTTCATGTCATTTCCGACTTCGTTACAAAGTCTATTAATTAAAGCTTTTCATGAGAACAGTGTGAATGATTTTACGAACAGCATCTCTAGTGATTACATGATGATGACGTCCAGCCGATGAGTCTTAAAAAGGACGAAACAGGCATCATGGATTCCACTACTACTAGATGAAACGGTCGTCCAGTGATTCCAGGTTTTCCATGGTAGTCCAGCTTCAAATGACTCATGATCTCAACTACTGAAATTACTACAATCTCCACAAAACTCCTTCTGATATTACAGATCTCTTATACAGGTATCATTAATTAAATTTAATGACATATTTCGAAATTTATAAATAAAATATGAAATCATAAATATATCTAAATTCCTATGCATTTTTCCAATGTTTTCTTGAATCTTCCTATTGATATTTAGGACTGCAATTCATCAGTCTCTTATTAGCGCATGCGCATCCTGTGCATATTGACTCGATATTGTCTTAAATCACAAACATAATAAGCGAAGTTGAATGATGACTAGTAGTAGTGGAATCCATGATGCCTGTTTCGTCCTTTTTAAGACTCATCGGCTGGACGTCATCATCATGTAATCACTAGAGATGCTGTTCGTAAAATCATTCACACTGTTCTCATGAAAAGCTTTAATTAATGGACTTTGTAACGAAGTCGGAAATGACATGAACGCCTACAAACAGCTTTCAATGATAGTTTCACAATATCAATATCAAAACATTGGAGAAAGTTGAATGTCGGCATAGTGAAAATGGTCTTCACTATGATTGTTATTATGTAAATAGAATACAAATGTACTATTATTCACACTTACAATGATGTAATCAAAACAGAATTGTAAATGTTTCATTAAGATTTCCGCTTGTCTTTCCCATTATAAATCACATTGTATGCAAATGAATTAACCGATGGTTAATTTGTTCCTACAAGGAATGTCGGATTGTTTTGTTTTGTTTTTGGTTTTACTTAAGATAGACGATTATGCATAGAATGAAAATAATGAAATACACAATTATTGTGATGCGTTATGACATAATCAATCAACGAGATGTCAACTAATCATGTTCGAATTCATTGGAACAATGATTTTGTGTTAATATTGAGTGAATATACTGTGGATAATGTTAAGTTTGCAATGAAATGATTCAATTTGATTGATATAGAAAAGTTAACTTGATTGTGTCTAGGTGAGGCGTTCGAGCATGAGTTTGAAATTTGTTGTTTTGAATGCGGTGTTTGTGTGTGTGTGTGTGTGTGAGTGACCGTGTGTGTGCTTTGTTGAGGAGTCGCATACATGGACTAAACAGTGGTCCATTCCTTCCAGGTATTGAACGGTGTTCTCACGTTGATCAACTGTTGATATCAAATAATACTCAACAATTTACACAACTGTATACTGATAGAATACCGAACACAAGTACACTATTGGATACTTTTCATTTTGTTATGAAATTGTGTTTTGGTGAATGTAGAACTATCTAACCTATGATATCATTTAGTTGGAAAATGATAATGTTACAAATCCCACAATTGCATCAATGAATGGATTAGACACCTTCACCAATTTCTTAGTAAAATCAAACAACCACTAACTCAAATTTCATTTGATGTTGGTTTGATTGTTGATAATTATAGTCCAGTTTACTTGTATTCAGTGTAAATTCATCTTCACAATGATGATGATGATGATGATGATGATGATGATGATGATGATGATGATGATGATGATGATGATGATGATGATGATGATGATGATGATGATGATGATGATGATGATGATGATGATGATGATGATGATGATGATGATGATGATGATGATGATGATGATGATGATGATGATGATGATGATGATGATGATGATGATGATGATGATGATGATGATGATGATGATGATGATGATGATGATGTATTTTGTTGAGAATCGGATTATATGGTAAATGTAATTATTAGTTGAAGTGGTTATGATGAGTTGATTATTGTGTAATTTGTATACTTGAATAATGAATGTATGTTGTTGAATTGTTTGATCAGATTGTTGAATAACACAGAGAGTAATTGACCTATATTCATTATAATACGAGGAAAGAAGAATTAGCTGATGGTGTGTGTGTGTGTGTGTTTATGTGTATGTTTGAGTGATCTAGTCATAAAGCTTCTATGGAAGAATGTCATTGAAATAAGATTATTCCCAAATATTACCTAATAATGTTTGCTATTAGTTTCAAACATTCACTCTAGATTACCACACTATTAATAAGATCACATAGATGAAGATACCTTAATTGATTAGTAAATAACAAACAGATGAATCAATTTATGCTATGACGCTTCTGGATCATTAATATTCAATATTATTCGAACTTATCATGAGATACTCATCGCCTAGCCGTACAATGAGAGAGTAATACTGTGTATTGGTATGAAGTATAAAACTGACCCTTGATATATGCTTATTTAAGTTCACGAATAATCACTTAATATCATATATCCAATGATGTTTCGCCGGTGACTATACCACGTTGAAAACATCGTTTCTTGTCGAATGATATTTTAAAATATACAGATAAATTGAAGTTCATAGTGTATCTTCTAAAATTTAACTAATGTTACGTGAATATCTCCCAATCTATGCGTTTATAAAGACTATTACAATATAGAATATTCCATTATTTAACTAGACAACATTCAAGGAATTCCTTGATATTTTAATAGAACTTTAAGGAATATTCTGTCTTATAAGTGTTGATATATCGTTGTTGTTATTTTAGAAATGTTCTATGATCTTCATACATGATAACAATTATGATTTAATCATTTTGTGGTGTGTGTGCTACTTATATAGATATAAATAGTATATGACGTTAGTCGTGAACAGAACGTCTGGCAGCAGAGAGACAAGAGGATCCAACAGTAAAGAGTCGAAAAAGAATTCAATTTGTATGAAAATGCAAGAATAATGAAGTTTTAGTCATTTTGAGACAATTGATGGATATTTGCAAATTAAGCCGTCCAGTGCTTCCAGGTTTTCAATGATGGTCCAACATCAGTCGGTTCATGATCTCAATCAAAAACTTAACAATCTCCACAACTCCTAAACTGATAATTACCATGTGCTCACTAGTGACCGGCTTCAAGATGGATTTCCTGGAGTTCTAGTGAGAAGCCTTGACCGATAGAGTTCAACCAGGTCTGCTGTGAAGTAGTCACTCTTTGAAGACAGTGGTGGATGGTAGTACAATTTCGTGGATTGATTGAAGTTAGACATTAACACCGTTTGATGCTTGCTCAGTGATGTAGAGATTAAGTGTTCTCGCGCAAGAACGAAGGTCCTGGATTCTAGTCTCTTTGATGTAACATCGTGTATGCGCACTGCTGAGGATTCCTATGACATGACGAAACTGCCGTCCAGTGCTTCCAGTTTTTCCATAGTGGTCTATCATTATTCGACTCATGAGTTTAACTACTAAATTATTTCTTAATAATAATAATAATATATCTATAATATTCTAATAAAGAGAACATTGATTTACTGACATCTTGTAAGTAAGTATAAGTCTAGTGATATTCTTAATCGAATTTGTTGTCATGTGTCAATTCTGTGTTAAGTTGACACAGACATAATATCACAATGGTGTGAGCTAAACACTTTCTAATAATTTTATATGCATAATCCTAATCGAACAATTGAGAGAACTATTTAAACTCCGTATATCAATGGATATCGGTTTGTTATTGAAATGAAATGTAATAGGTTTGAGTACTAGTACAAACGTCAACATTAGGATATACGCACACAGAAAAGCCGGGTTCCTATATAGGTTTAAATGGATATTTTGCATTCCACTAATGGACGTAATACATTTATTATATAACAAAATAATGAGCAAATAAACTTCTGTTTTATTAGCAAAAATGTATAGTGGCTAGCAATGGAATCCAGGACGCGCGTTCCATCCTATTTTGCACTCGTCTGATGAATGTACCTGCATCTTAGAATCGATGTTCATACCGGAACTCAAACCCAGTATCGTTTGCTTGAAACGACACCAAGATATCTTTTTAGCTATTGAGTCCTTATAGCCACTGGTTTGGAGTCCCAGAGTGAACATCAATTCTGCCATGCAGGTAAATCCAGTTGAAAAGTCTCTAATAGAACGAAAAGAGTGTCGTAGATTCCACTGCTAGCCACTATCCACCTCTGCTTAGAATGCTTATGACTTGAAACAATATCGAGGCAATCTGTGAACAAAAACTCTAGGATGCAGGTATATCTAACTGACAAGTCTGAATAGGATGAAACAAGCATCCTGGATTCCACTGCTAGGCACTATCGATTTTTACTTATAAAACGTGTGACTGTAGACAATATCGTACAGAATGCACGTATACCAATAAGACACTGTTCATTTGCGGTCTTAAACATCAATGAGAAGATACATGTCAACAACATCAAGTGAAACTTCTGGTCTATTCATTAATTCGTTATTACATTGAAAAATTAAACTGAAAATGATTACACTGTCACCAATCTGTAAAATGTACTAATCCTATTCTTGTTGTTGTTGTTGTTTTACTGAACACTAACAACTAATCTTATATATAAGCCTTATTCAAATCATTTCATTAGATTAGTATTGTTTAGAAAAGTAAAGAAAGAGGAAAAAAAAAACAAAAACATGTTTCTCAGTGAGGGGTTACATTTATAAACAGCTGTTCTATATTATTTCATTTTATATATTCATTCAATTATGTAACAACTGACGTTTGATCCTTATTGAATACATTTCAATAATCTTCTATGATTTGTGGTTAACTTCTAATAGGATAAATGAATGAAACATTTTTTTTTTTACAAAAAAAAATTATACCTACTGTTCTCTACATTTTATTACATCATCAAGTTACATGGGAAATGTTAGGATAACTTTAAGCAATATATCCACTCTACCAATCAATCAATCTATATATATATGGATTCATAGAATAATTGTAATCTTACTAGTTTAGATGGGTATGGACTATAATTAGTTCAAAAAAAAGAGAAATATACTCATCATTTACTTGGTGTTGTTTTACTTGTATCTTCCCATTGTTGTTTAGGACTTCAAATGGTCAGACTGTGTTGGTGTAGGGATTGCCTCGATATTGTCTCAAGTCACAAGTTTTATAAGCAAAGAGAGTTGTTAATAAACACTTGTATCTTTTGGATGATGGATTTTGTAGTTCTCTAAGTTTCGGACACATACACTAGAACTATTTTGACATTTGTATTGAGAATTGTGACCTTGGTGTTTGTGACAGTTTTTTCCAGTTCCAAATGTTCTTCAGTTGTGAATATGTTGATCTGGCTTTGCAGATCCACAATTTCACATCTGCATCAAATTTACCTTGTCTATCAATGATGCCACTCAGATATGTAAAGGTATTTGCATCCTCCAAATCTTCTCCATCCAGTGCTATTTGATTGTGATGTATCAGAGAATCTTGCTTTTCCTACTGTTGCTGAGGCTGCTGCTACACTGATCGTCTTCTCCTGCATTTGTTTTTGCGTTTGCGAGAGAAGATCTAGATCATCTGAGAAATCTAGATCATCCAGCTTCATTCTAGCTGTCCACTGTATCTCATGCTTCTCCATAAATGTTGACATATTCATGATCCTGTGATCACTAGGATAAAGTGAAACAGTGAGTGTAAGCAATCTTGTCTGAAACTAATCTTTACTTTGAACGAATTTATGAGCTGTCTTCCATGCAGGATTTTGCAGTTTAATCCATTACTTACTTACTTACTTACACCTGTTACTCCCGATGGAGCATAGCCCACTGACCAGCATTCTCTAACCCACTCTGCCCTGGGCCTTCTTTTCCAGTTCCATCCAATTCTTGTTCATTTTTCTCATGTCTATTTCCATTTCTCGGAGTAGTGTGTTCTTCGGTCTTCCTCTTTCCTTTGACCTTGACGATTCCATGTGAGAGATTGCCTTGTGACGCAATTGGTTGCTTTCCTCAGTAAGTTTCCTATTCAATTCCAGCGCTTCTCCGCCTGGAGTCCTTCCGGGGGCTACTAACGGTCCCAAGACCAGATAAAGGAGGAAGACCGGGCATGGGGTTGGCGACCCCATCCCGTAGAAAACTAATTCACTAAAATAATGCTAACCAGTTTGATCCATTATAGGAATTCATTTCATCTATTATGTCCAAATGATTACTTTTGAACGTTTTCTCTTATTGACTTGTTTCATATAAATTAAAACTTTAAAAATCTTTTTAAAAAAACACACACACAACTAGGAAAACAAAGTATACCAAGATTATACCACACAAAAAGGAAACATTGAACATTGATAAGTGCTTTAACATAATTTAAATAAGGTTCTTCTTAATTTTTAACACATATTTTTTTCTCTATTTGTTTTTTCTCTTTTTTGTTTTCTTTATTTATTGGTAGTTCAATTACTTTTTTTTTCTTTTTTTCATTTTTTTCAAAGTTATGGCACCAGATAAGAGTTTTTTTCTTTTTTTCTTTTTTCTTTATATTGGTATTATTGTCTAAGTGAATCGTGACAAAATGCAATAACACAATAAATCTCATTCAATTGATTATCCATCAAATTATTTTTTTCTTTTTTCTTATTTTTCTCTCTTTTTTTCTCTTTCTTGTTGTTCTTGTTGGTGGTGGTGAAATGTTTTTAAAGATAAGATAGATAGAATGTATATCATCCACTATCTATGGAATAGATTATATTACGTAACTGATAAACATAATAATAATTTTTGAGATAAACAATATAAAACCACCCACTATGTCTCAATGACTAAAGTGTAACTGTCGAAAGTATGCAGAGATTCTTCCTTTTTTGGTGTGTGTGTGTGTGTTTTCAGTGTTATCTCCACTATGAAGTTGTTTGTTGTTAACCCTAGTTGATTGTGTATAAGGA